GTTCAACATTCTCCATGTTGTCTGGTTGTAAACTATGATACAATCATACACTGCTGCAAAAACATGTTGCTGAAATTTCTTTCTTTTTTTCATGTTTCCAATGTAAAATAGTTAAACATCTTTACAAACAAATGTAAATTTACCAATTAAGATTATCACAAGGTTTATGGTTCCATTTGCACAGTGAAACCAACAATCCCAGAACACCTGGATGATTACAGCTACAGGTTTCCAATAGTAGCACAGATCCAACTACCATTTCAATTATTTATTTTTATGCTCTTCTGTTACCTTTTAAGTTTTAAAACTGTCATCTTCTGGCAATGAATGAAATAACATTCACCACCATATCAGTAGCCTAATAAACTTTTTGCAACCTACACTGATGTTATTCTGTGTCATCTGTTCTTTGACCATGTGTTGCACTGTACCTGGATGATACACGATGATCATTGATAAAAATGCATGGTCTATTTTGATGCACAACAAACACTCATGCAACATTATTTATAGGCTAAGTCATAAAGTTTCATAAACATATATAATCTTAATTAGGCTTTTTTTTCTACATAAACTGGAATGACCTGCCCAACTCAATTCGAGCACTCAAGTCCTTAGCCATCTTCAAGAAACAGCTAAAAACACATCTCTTCCATCTATATTTGACCCTCTAACACTTGCACTCTCTATTTGTTTTCCAACTGCTTGTGTTCTTTAAAATAAGGCCTCTAACACTAGCTTTCTCTATTCTTTTTCTATTCTATCTACTTGTTTTCTTTTTGTTGTGTATGTGTGTTGGTGTGAATGTTTGATATTATGTGAGACAGTGACATTTTGTTTTTAAAAATATGAATTCAATAGTGATTCACACTCAAAATCCAGGAAAATGTTAGTCATGGTGGATGCGATTAATAAGGTAAAGTTTTCTTGAATTTTGAGCATGAATCACTATTGAATCCTTGTTACAAATTAAAAAGATGTATGCACCAAAACAAGGCAACATTGGAGACAAGAGAGTGTGATGTTAACGTCCTTGTAGAATCTGCTATATAAAAATGACATAATAAAGCTAAAAAAAAAAAAACAATTCTTCACTCGATTCTGGCATTTGATACAGGACATTACCATTCAAAAGTTTAGGATTACTATGAATTCTTTTTTTTTTTTTAAGAAATGTATATTTTTGCTCTTCAAGAATGCATCAATTTAATAAAAATGACAGTCAAGACATTTATAATGTAAAAAAAATTATATTTCAAATAAATGCTGTTCTTCTGAACTTTCCATTCATCAAGGAATCCTGTCGCTGTATAATGGTTTCCACACTTCATTAAGCAGTACAACCATTTTCAACTCTGATAATAATCAGAAATGTTTCTTGTGCAGACAATAAGCATATTAGAATGATTTCTGAATGATCATGAGACACTAAAGAGAAGAAGTTCACGGGGGGGAAACCTTTATTTTAAATTGTAAAATTATTCCACAATATTAATGTTTTTTTATATTTTCAATTGATGCAGTTGATGACATGCACAAAGAACCTTACTAATACAAATCCTTAGAGCAGTATTTTATATGTCATATCAATACAAGCACACTCACACTTATGAACATTTGTTAATGAAATTATTTTTTAACATGAAATTAGTTTCTTATTCCATTCCATAAAATGCAGTGAAGTATTTGTTTTCTCATTTACAGTGTACCAAATATAGGCTACTTTTTAAACTTGTGTCCATACAATTTTGTTTAATCCAAAATTGTACTTATTAAAGGAACACTTTCATGCTTGTGTGTGTGTGGTCTTGGATTCCTATTCATTTTGTAAATACAGCCTAACAGTTTAAGAACAATTACACAAGGATAGATGAAAAACGATTCACAGATTCAAGTTTATTTCAGCTGTTGTATTTAAATGAAAACAACTAACAACAGACGCAGTTTTAAAGCATTGCAAGCTACAGCACAACGAACTGAAATCAAAGTAATTTACAAGTAGCTTAAGTGTGTTGAATGTCTGCAATCATTCACTCAGTGACGACTGCACAACACGTGCAAACTAATGAAAACATTATAAACTGTTGAACAAATGTAGTCCAGGCATAGGTTTGTGCAACGCTGTAAAAGTTTACCTTTTTTTAAATATCCCATTAAACCTGCTGAAATACAAGGAGCGTGAACTGAAATTCTCAGTTCCACGCGCATGTCCGGGAATCTCATGAATATTCATGTATGCCCCGCCCACTGAAAACCAAAAATCTCGTAACACCGGATGTTGTGTTTCAGACTACTGTAAAACGTCTCTGAAATTATTATTTTTTTTCAATATGGTTTTGTTTTACAATATACTTTTAAGTTTTTATACAGCAAATCAATCTAGCGACGTGTTATTATTATCATCGAGGAAAAACATCGCGCGGGGTCCCAGAAAGCGACGGAGGACGGGCAAGAAAGTTCGAGAAACTTCTGTCATCTACTCTCTACTCGGACCGGTTTGATCCGGCCTTTTCCAGGCTTTGTTCGGTTCTTAGCCCAGTGTTTGCTTTCGCGGTAACTGTCCGTTCTGTCGTTTCCCTGCGCTTGTTTTATTAGCCGCTGACTGAAAACTAGCCAAGTTAGCATGTTCTAGTAACGTTACACAAGATTACAGTATATAACTCGAGATTTCTCGATCCATCGACTGTCTCGGCCATTCAATAAACAATTTACAAACAAAACATCACCAAGCGAATGAGTTTATTCTATGTCGCAAAAGATGAATCGATCCATGTTGTGATAAGCAGCTCGCTGCGGCCTACACCTTTAACAAAACCCAAACCCTGAACACACCCGAGCTCAGAAAGTGAGGCAAACAGCAGGATATCTAGAGAAGTTGGTTTAGAATAGGGGCATTAACGTAGACAAAATGGGCAGAAGAGAATAAGATGACTTCTCACTTCATCTGTGTGTTAGATTTGAAACAAATTAATTAATCTTCCATGAACAGGCCGTGTACCACCTTTACTGTATTTCCCTGAACTATATGTTCTCCCAAAGACCTGTGAGACTAGAAAATGCCTTACTTCAGTTTTCTCTATTTTCTTCTTTTCCTCCTGGTGGTAATCAGCAACAGCAGAAACACACACAGTGTTCACTCATCTGTGAATGTAACATAAGAAATGTCTTGAACAGAGTTTGGCCACTTTATAATGTCGCTCTGATAATACAGCAATCCATTCAAATCAAATTCCAAGGATCCACAAATATCAAAAATCATTTTGTTGCTGAATGTGTTCAGTCATATTTAATGAGACACTAATCATACAGTGACCATAGAAGAGAACGCGATCACACTGTATTCTTCTCACAAATATCAGCAAATCTGTTGTATTTATCATCAAAATAATCATTTGAAGAAAAACAGGTCAGGTTTGTAAGTAACCAAAATATATCACAGTTTGCATGAGTTTCTAATTAATATTTCTTGATATCACGAACATTATGAATCATTAGCAGTGAAGTGTTTAAAACTGAATCCTCATGTTTAGTTTCTTCCAAAAACCAAAATGAAGTGAAATTAAACTCTTGAGCAGTAAAACTAAAAACCTACAGATATAAGACAAAGCAAAGGGAGTTGCTTTCCACAGCAAAGTCACATCAAAACAAAAGCTCCACACTTTGAGTCCGGTTTAACGACGGATCGACTGGCGGGTTTGATCTCCGTGAGGTTTAGCTGACATGAGAACTAATGAAAAACAAACGTGTGAAAGCAGATCTTCATCACTCGCTCCATTACTGATGTTACTGTCAGTGAGGAGGAACCCAGTGTCTGATCGTACAGGACTGTGAGTCTCATAGAGATGTTCACTCAGTGGAAAACAGATCTCCAGCAGACGGGAGAGGAGCGAGGCCGCCGGTGACGTTCGGTAGGAGAGAAAGGTCTGGAAGACTCTGGATGTGAGACTTGAGCTCCTTCCTCACTTGTGTGACGCGAGCCAGTTTCTGCTTGTACTCCTGCAAGAACATCAGATATTCAATGAATGACTGAATTGATCAGACAAGCATTCAAAAGTGTGGGGTCATTCACATTTTTTAAAAAAGTCATTAATACTTTTATTCAGTGAAGATTAATTAAATTGATCAAAAGTGACAGTATAGACACAATGCTAAAAAAAAATTATATTTCAAATAAATGCTGCTCTTTTGAAAGTTCTGTTCACCAGAGAATCCTGAAAAATAAAATGCATAAATGCAACTTCCACAAAAATATTACACTGTTTTCAACTGATAATAATCAGAAATGTTTCTTGAGCAGCAAATCAGCATATTAGAATGATTTCTGAAGATCATGTGACACTGAAGACTGGAGTAATGATGCTGAAAATTCACAGGAATAAATGTGACCCTGGAGCACAAAAGCAGTCTTAAGTCACTGGGGGATATTTGTAGCAATAAGCCAAAAATAAATTGTATGGGTCAAAATTATTGATTTTTCCTTTATGCCAAAAATCATTAGGATATTAAGTAAATATCATGTTTCATGAAGATATTTTGTAAATTTCCTACCATAAATATATCAAAACTTAATTTTTGATTAGTAATATGCATTGCTAAGAACTTCATTTGGACAACTTTAAAGATGATTTTCTCAATATTTGGATTTTTTTTTGCACCCTCAGATTCCAGATTTTCAAATAGTTGTATCTCTGCCAAATATTGTCCGATCCTAACAAACCATACATCAGTGGAAAGCTTATTTATTCAGCTTTCATATGATGTATAAATCCCAATTTCGAAAAATTGACTCTTATGACTGGTTTTGTGCGCCAGGGTCACAAATTACATTTTAATATCTATTAAAATAGAAAGCAGTTATTTGAAATTGTAATAATACTTCATAATATTACTGTTTTTACTGTATTTCTGATCAAATAAATGCAGCCTTGGTGAGCAGAAGAGAATTGTTTCAAAAATATAAAAAAATCTTATGTATTTCAGATACTTAAAGGTCATTTAAGTAATGCATTAACTCAAAAACTTTCCAAATATGTTTGATTTACCTTCTCCCATAAAACACAAAAGGAAGCATTTTACAGAAGCTTGTTTTCAAGCTCCAAATTGGATAAAAAGTACCATAAAAGTATGAAAAGTACCCCAAAAGTTGTCCATATGACTTGGCGATATATTTAAAGTCTTCTGAAACCAAGACAGCTTTGTGTGAGTAATTAATCCTAAATTAACCTCAACTTAAGTTGAAGCACAATTATGATTTATCAGGGAATAATGATTTCATTTTGGTCTTTCGGATGATTTCTAAAAACTTGAATACAGTGCATAAGTCATATGGACTACTTTTTGTTGCTTGAAGGTAAAAATCACATCCACTTTCATTATATTGAAATCATCAGCTCTGGTATTCTGCAGAAAATCAAATAGAGTTGGAAAGACACGAGGAGTAGATGATGACTGGAAGGCAAACTTGTCGTTAGTCTCATACCTCCAGCTTCTTCTCCCTCTCGTTGAGCGCATCTCTCTGGCTCTGGATGTACTCTGTCAGCATTCGGGCCAGCTGTCTCCGGTCCTCTAACTCAGCGGCCAGGCGTCCGTTATACTCAGCCAGCAGCAGACAGGCCTCGTCCACCGTCTTTGACAGCTTATCTGCCGCCTGTTTATCTGCAGAGGACACAACATGAAGCGCTTCATCAGAAAACCACTTCCTGTTAGACAGGGTTACGTTTCTCCAGCGAGTCTCACCTGTGATCTTCTCCAGAAGAGAAACGTCCTGCACCTCCTGTGGAAGGGATGCGATCTTCTGTCTCACGGCAGCGTCACCGGATGCAGCGTTCTCGAGATCCTGCAGCGCTTTCACCAGATCCTCCGTCTGCGGATCATGTCAATCACACACCATCTTTCTTAGAAGTCAGGTTCTTAGAAATCATATTGGTAGTTGCTTTGAAACGCCAAACAGTTTTAGCAATATCTTGCAACGTGACATCGAATCAACTACCCAAGCTTTTTATATATGCATTATATTGCATACATTATATCATAATTGTATACATTTATTATATTATTAATGTAAATATTTTTTTCATACCATGAGTCCCTTAGTTTGGGGTATCATTTAAATGCCATTTATTCAAAGAAGTGTGATTCTTACCTATGATTGTTGATATTGATTGATATTATAGCATTTTTATAAAAAAATAAGCTCTTAGATTTAGAATTAATATGTATTTATATGTATATTTATATATTGTTATTTTAGTGCAATTTTTTTTACTTTTTTTACTTCGTTAGTCAATTTTCGATGGTCCTGCAAAGTGAAAAATGAACCGAAAGATATGAAAATACAAACTTTGTGTAAAATATTATTTTTTTCAGATCAAGAATTACGTGTAAAGCAGCTTTAGCAGTGTCTCAGAGAATGTTTTAAACATTTTCATTGAATTCTGTTATTATAGACATTTTTATATTATATTATACATGGAACGTTTGCATTTTTATTTTATATTTCAATTTATTTTTCACATTGCAGGAGCATTTAAAATGGACTAATGAAGTAAAAAAAAAGTTTAAAAATGGTGCTAAAATAAAAAACCCCATAAAAACAGACATAGAAATGATAAATCTAGAATCCTGATATTGAATAGAAATGCTATAACAACAATCAGTATCAAGACTCAAAGTTTATAATCACAATTCTTTCGAGTGAATGTCATTCGTACCAGTTGTGGAGCGGCTGCGTCCGTCTCCTGGGGAGAATAGTGACCTCTGTAATCATCATCTTCCTCCTCCTCTTCCTCCTGGACCTTCTGGTAGCTTCTCTTTAAATTTTTTCTATCATCTACTAAAAAACAGCACGCAACTTTTACTTCACTTTACTTACAAAAAGAGATGATTCACTTCATGCATTCTACAAGACAGTTAACAAACATGCATTCTGGTGAAAACAATGCCTGATGAAGGTTGCATGACCAAAACGTTGTATTAAAATAAGATTTGCAAGCTATAGTAGTTATGAAAACTGAAATAACACAAAGGAAGCCTGGGAATGATGTAGCGATGAACACATAAGACACAAATGAAAGCTCTCATATTGAGCTTCTTTATCTAGATTGCAGCTCTGATCACTCTGGACATTCACCAGATGCATCTTGGGATGTTTTTAGAGCTTTTACGCAATATGCAAGTATTACGCTGACCTGCGGGCTTGTGTTTGGGACTGTCTGAGTCCTCAATAGCCAGTTTGAGCTGCTGGATGAAGTCTGAACGGTAGAGGCTTCGCTCCTGCCAGATGTTCAGCAACCTCTCCATCTGCTTCTTAGAACCATCATCTCCATCTCTGCCAGAGAAAGACACAGAATATATGTGAGACGGCACAAACTCATACTACTGAAGGCATGAAGCATATATGAAGGTGCGTCTACCTGGCCACGTGTGAGCAGGCATCAACCAGGACGCCCTCAAAGTCTTTGGCGAACTCTGGACCCTTTTTCTTACTGTTCTGAATCACGTCATTAGCCAGATACAGGAACGTCAACTTCCTGCTGCGTTTAGCTGAACAACAAACACATTTAATTATTATTAACTCTAAAACAAATCTTTTTTGTGTGTGTTTCAGTTTTAATGTTTGATCATTTCAGTCATTTTTGAAGGTTGCCTTGTGCGAACTAAACTTAGACCAGTAAAGTTTGGTCTTATGTTCCTCGACTGACCCACCAAATCTGTTTGTTCCCTTTAAAGGAATAGTTCAGCTCTAAATGAAAATGTACTCAACTTCAGGCCATCCAAGATTAGGATGAGTTTGTTTCTTCATCAGATTTGGAGAAATGTAGCATTGCATCACTTGCTCACCAATGGATGCTCTGCAGTGAATGGGTGCCGTCAGAATGAGAATCAATTAACGTCCATAATAAGTGAAAGTTCATCCCCTGTTGTCTCTCACATCAAAATCCAGCCACATATTTGCTTACAACTGTTTTTTGCCTGATCTGCATATTTCTCTCCTGATTCAGACGAGATGAAATTTTCACTGGAGGAAGTGTTGTTTTAGATTATGGAGTGCATTTAGCAGGAAGCAAGCAACAGTCTGAAGTTAAAAATGTATTAATGATGGATTTGTTTCGTACAAGCACGCAGCTTTTGGCTTCACAAGTCATTAACTAATGGACTGGAGTGGTATGGACTACTTGTGGATTATTGTGATGTTTTTATCAGCTGTTTGGACTCTCATTCTGACGGCACCCATTCACTGCAGAGCATCCATTGCTGAGACACTGATGCAATGCTACATTTCTCCAAATCTGATGAAGAAACAAACTCATCTGCATCTTGGATGACCTGAGAGTGAGCACATTTTTGGCAAATTTTCACTATTCCTTCCTTCAACTACCATTCTAAACCCAAAGCTGCAGCTGGTAACCGATCACCAGTGTCTGCCGCAGTAAAGCTCTCTTACCTTTCTTCAGTTCTCTGTGCCACACGCGCACGATGAAGGATGCATGTTTGCGGTGATGAATGATCCACAGAGACAGAGTCTGAACGCTCTGCTGCGAGTTACTCAGTTCAGACAGCTTCTTCTCCAGCGCAGACTCGGAGAAAGACGACATGCTGACCGCTCTCTCTCACCGAACAACTCTAACAAGACACAACAGATTAAAAACAGGTCTGAGATGCATTTTACTTAAGAAACTTAAAGCTGATAGATAGAACAATAGATAGAACGATAGAACGATAGATAGATAGAACGATGGATAGAACGATGGATAGATAGATGATAGATAGATGGATAGATAGATGGATAGAACGATGGATAGAAAGATGGATAGAATGATGGATAGATAGATGGATAGAATGATGGATAGAACGATGGATAGATAGATGGATAGAATGATGGATAGAACGATGGATAGATAGAACGATAGATAGATAGATAGAACGACAGATAGATAGATGGATAGAACGATGGATAGATAGATGATAGAACGATGGATAGAACGATGGATAGATAGATGATAGATAGATGGAGAGATAGATGGATAGAACGATGGATAGAACGATGGATAGAACGATGGACAGAACGATGGACAGAACGATGGACAGAATGATGGACAGAACGATGGATAGAACGATGATAGATAGATGGAGAGATAGATGGATAGAACGATGGATAGAACGATGGATAGATAGATGATAGAACGATGGATAGATAGATGATAGAACGATGGATAGATAGATGATAGATAGATGGATAGAACAATGGATAGATTGATGGATAGAACGATGGATAGATAGAACGATAGATAGATAGAACGATAGATAGAACGATGGATAGAACGATGGATAGATAGATGGATAGAACGATGGATAGAAAGATTGATAGAACGATGGATAGATAGATGGATAGAACGATGGATAGAACGATGGATAGAACGATGGATAGATAGATGGATAGAACGATGGATAGAATGATGGATAGATAGATAGATGGATAGAACGATGTATAGAACGATGGATAGATAAATGATAGATAGATGGATAGATAGATGGATATATAGATAGATAGATGGATAGATAGATAGAACGATGCATAGATAGAACGATAGAACGATAGATCGATAGATAGATAGATAGATAGATAGATAGAACGATAGAACGATAGATGGATAGATGGATAGATGGATAGAACGATAGAACGATAGATCGATAGAACGATAGATCGATAGATCGATAGAACGATAGATAGAACTATAGAACGATAGATAGATAGATAGATAGATGGATAGATAGATAGAACGATGCATAGATAGAACGATAGAACGATAGATCGATAGATAGGTAGATAGATAGATAGATAGAACTATAGAACGATATATAGGTAGATAGATAGATAGATAGAACTATAGAACGATATATAGGTAGATAGATAGATAGATAGATAGATAGATAGA